AGCGGTCTCGAACCCGGGACCTGCCGCTTCCCACATCATGCTCTTAACCACTGAGCCACCGGACGCCATGGCACCCGCCCTGCCTGCGCAGGTACCCAATTTCTGTGGATATACCTCCCCAAGCAATTGGTCGCCGAAAAAATTGTGTATAGTACCGGTCTCGAACCCGGGACCTCCCGCTTCCCGCGACATGCTCTTAACCACTGAGCCACCGGGACGCCATGGCACCCGCCCTGTCTGCGCGGGTACCCACCCTTCTCTGGATATACCCCCCCAAGCAATTGGTCGCCGAAAAAATTGTGTATACAAACCGGCCCCGAACCCGGGACCGGGCCCGCTTCCCACATCATGCTCTTTACCACTGAGCTCCCGGAGGACCATGATGCTCGCTTTGCCAGCGCTGGTACTCAATCCTCTCAGGATAGACCTCCTCAAGAAGTTTGTTGCCGTTGCCGAAAATTTTGCTCATGGCACTAGTCTTGAACCCGAGACCTGCCAGTCAGGAACGGAGCACTCTAACCACTGCGCCATCAGTTTGGTATGCATGTCACCCACCTAGCGCCAAACTTGAATAGCCACCCATCTTGCTTGATGCTTGACAAATTATAAGTTCGGCGCTAGGAGAGCAGCGCCCATAGCAAACTGGTGGCGCAGTGGTTAGAACGCTGCGTTCCTGACTGGCAGGTCTCGGGTTCGAGACTAGTGCCATGAGAAAATTTTTTCGGCAACGGCAACAAACTTCTTGGGGAGGTCTATCCTGAGAGGATTGAGTACCAGCGCTGGCAAAGCGAGCATCATGGTCCTCCGGTAGCTCAGTGGTAAAGAGCATGATGTGGGAAGCGGCAGGTCCCGGGTTCGGGACCGGTAGTATACACAATTTTTTCGGCGACCAATTGCTTGGGGGGGGGTATATCCAGAGAAGATTGGGTACCTGCGCAGACAGGGCGGGTGCCATGGCGTCCCGGTGGCTCAGTGGTTAAGAGCATGTCGCGGGAAGCGGGAGGTCCCGGTTCAAACCGGTACTATACAAAATTTTTTTCGGCGACCAATTGTTTGGGGGAGGTATATCCACAGAAGATTGGGTACCTGCGCAGGCAGGGCGGGTGCCATGGCGTCCCGGTGGCTCAGTGGTTAAGAGCATGATGTGGGAAGCGGCAGGTCCCGGGTTCGAGACCACTCCAGGTACCCTTTTTTCGGGGCCAGATTTCTCGAACGGCAGCTCAAGAGGAGTTGCGACATCGCCGCCCACAAGCTGGTTCGGTGGCTGAGCGGTCAGGGTAGAGGAGTTGACTAGACTCGGCACTCGGGGTCGCGGGTTCAAATACCCAATGTGACCCCTCTGAGGTAAGGCCTCTGAATCTGGACTCTCACTGTACCACAGAAACCGCGCGCACTTCGGGTGGGCCCGCCTAATACGAACCCACTAATCTGTCGAATTTCGCGGCAGGGGGCGTCGGATGAAGGGCCCCGGGTTTCCCCTAAGAAACCGAAGCTGATCGGCGGGTCTCCTTGAGACTTTCGTATTGCCACTTTTTGCCGCCGATTTCTTCGTTTTTTTTGTTGAATATTTTTATTTAATTTTTTTATTAGGTAGGCGAACTATAGGTAGGCGAAATAGACAGGTAGGCGAACATTTAGGTAGGAGAAATGATATAGACTCTTTTCCTGGGTGCGGCCCAGTTGGCTCAATTTAGACGCCACCACAGCACGGCGACGTGTCTGGCGGGGCGGGGCGGGGCGGGGCGGGACGGGACGGGGCGGGGCGGGGCGTGCACGTGCAGCACCGAGGGTAGGGTAGCGGACTGCGATCGCGATGACTTTACGACGGCCGAAGTCCAGTTGGATGGCAGTATTAATTTTACAGCCGCCAGGGCACCGTAAAACGAACGGCTTCTTTACGTCCGCGTGCGCATAATATGCACGCAGCAGACGCCCATTTCTGGAAGTCGCCTTCGCCTCTGTTCCTCTCGCACTCACGGAGCGTCCCGTACAGGTGCGAGAGAGGCAGCGCGATGGCATCGACCCTCACCCACTGTTTAAAAAAAAAGTGGAGTCATTGACAGCGTGGCTGTTTGAGCCTCGAACAGCGTGGCTGTTTGAGCCTCGAACAGCGTGGCTGTTTGAGCCTCGAACAGCGTGGCTGTTTGAGCCTCGAACAGCGTGGCTGTTTGAGCCTCGAACAGCGTGGCTGTTTGAGCCTCGAACAGCGTGGCTGTTTGAGCCTCGAACAGCGTGGCTGTTTGAGCCTCGAACAGCGTGGCTGTTTGAGCCTCGAACAGCGTGGCTGTTTGAGCCTCGAACAGCGTGGCTGTTTGAGCCTCGAACAGCGTGGCTGTTTGAGCCTCGAACAGCGTGGCTGTTTGAGCCTCGAACAGCGTGGCTGTTTGAGCCTCGAACAGCGTGGCTGTTTGAGCCTCGAACAGCGTGGCTGTTTGAGCCTCGAACAGCGTGGCTGCAGACCCCGTCCCCGCCCATGGCCCATGGCCTTCGCGGGGAGCCACCCTCCTAGTGGAGGTGGCAGCGCGCGCGACGTGCACGTCGTGGCGACCCCCGGTCAGCACAGTCAGCACGCGCATAAACAAGGCCAAATAATTCATCTTACGTGAGTGCACACAGACACACCTTCATCTACACACACACACACACACACGCACGCACACGGACGCAACAGGAAGGGATCGCGGCCGCCACGGCTTTCACGGCAGCGCTGTCAGCAGTGTGCTGGCGGTAGTCCGATTCCGAGAGATTCTGCTTTCGTCGCTCTGCCTCTCTCGCACTCCCGGGGCGTCCTGCATAGGTGCGAGGGGGACAGAGGGGCGAGGGCGTCTCCCGGAGTCGGACTGCCGCCAGCACCGGAAGAACAGCCGGAGGAATAAATATCTCACGGGAACAAACAGAAAAGCGCGTGTGTCGTCGCGCGGCATTATTGATGTGTACTCGCTGTCTCTCGCTGGAGGGGAAGGGGAAGGGGGTCCCGGGCCAGGGGTGGCGATAATCCGATTTCGAATCCGGATGGGATCCCTTTTCAGGCGGTCAGCCGGGCCAAGTCGGGAGTGCGGGCCGGGGGGCCAGATGATTCCGCGTGGAAGATGTGCGAGTCCGCACGGCCGCGAGGCGAGGCGCCGCGAGGGCCGAGGGGGGCAGCGGGGGCAGCGGGGGGACGGTGGGGGTGACAGGTGTCTGGGCGGGTCAGGTCCGACTCGGCGGGACCCTCTGCCTCCCGGGGGTCCATTCCACGGCGCGGCGGCCAGTCCGCCTTCGGGGCCGGGGGGCCGGCGGGGCGGCATGCGAGAGTGCCGAGTGCCCCATGCGGGGCCCCATGCGCAGCACGCCCGCCACGTGACCGATTCTAGGGCACTTCAGCCCGGGCCTGCAGCAGGTGACCCACAGAACACGACCTCCCCATTTACTCACACCACAAGGGGGACGGGAGAACACACTGTAAAAATTTGTTGCAGCCTGATGACAAAATCGTCGATGACATTTTCGTCACTTAAAATGGTGACTCATCACTCAAAATGATGACATTTTCAACAGAGCTCCTTGCATGGGTGTTGCAACGATGTCGCCACCAACTGGTTTGACGATATTATTGTAAGAAAAGTTAGCCTGGGAGTTGTCATCCAGTGGCAACCAAAATGTCCGTAGTGGCACAGCGCAGCGACCACAACCTACTCTCCTGGATGTGGATCCGAACTGCAGTCGGACCCGACATTTCCATTTCGGTTATTTTCTTTTAATGGGCGCTTGTTCAGTGGACTTCTGCCTTCATGAAAGAGGAACGAATGTTTGTTTCGACGCAGCGGCGAAATTCAATGACATGTGCATGATTGGGGTCTTGTCATGTCGTTTCATCGATGTTTCTTTTTATTCATTATATGAATTGTTATTTTTTTTTTATTTGCTTCTCCCGTGCACGTTTCCCGGCACTCGCGGTCCCACCGCGAAACTCGGCGCCTCGCCGCGGAAGGGGAAGCAAGGGAAACACACGTTGGCCGCGCGGCAACAAGCAGCTAGTCAGGAGCGATGCGTTCTGTGCCGCGGACGGACAGCCCAACTCATCACCCAGTCCTCGTCCAGGAGCGCCTTTTTTTCTCTCCTCCCCCCCTCCTCCCCCTTTCCCCCTCCTCTCCTCCTCCTCCTCCTCCTCCTTCCCCTCCTCCTCCTCCTCCCCCTCCCCTCCTCCTCCCCCTCCCCTCCTCCTCCCCCCTCCCCTCCTCCTCCCCTCCTCCTCCTCCTCCCCTCCCCCCCTCCTCCCCTCCTCCTCCTCCCCCCCTCCTCCTCCTCCCTCCTCCTCCTCCTCCTCCTCTCGCCCCCCGGCCTGCCCCTGGCCTGCACCCCTTCCCTGCGTCGAGCCGCACAGCCGATGCCGTTTTTTTCCGATCTCATTCGCCGAATAAACATCAAGTTCGGCGCCGTCTCAATAACTGCGATTCATTTCCGATTTCTGGAACAAACAATGGCCGGTTGAGCCGCGAGGATGCCTGCCTGCCTGCCTGTCTGCCTGTCTCTCTGCCTGCCTGCCTGTCTGCCTGTCTCTCTGCCTGCCTGCATGCTCGGTTCGGTCGGCTGCCCTTCGCTGCCCTTTGACGGCCTGTTGCTCGCGGTACCCGTCCCCAGTTTGCCCTTTCGTCGAGTGCCCCGAGTGTAACAGTGTAGCAGTGGTGGCCGGCACGCCGCCACATCCACGGTCTGGCGCACGGTGCGGCGCGCTGGCGCGGCGGCCATGTCGCCGGCTTCCAATTTGCATGTCAGCAGGCCAGTTTAAGCTACATCAAAGCCTCGACGGCGACCTGCTGCCTGTGTCTGATGGCCCGGTCGGCGGCACACTCCCTTCCTCGTAGCGCGGTTCGCGGATAGGTTCCCCTGCTGAGGGTTGGACCCTCGGTTCGATCCCGGCTAATGCCACTTTGGCCATGTGGCTACCTCTCCGCCCCCGCACTGTGGTTCGAGCGATGCGGCGAGCAGCCGAGTGGACTACTGGACGTACTACAACTCACCGTGCGCGATCTGGTTGTAGTTGTAGATGACGCGCTCCGCGTTCTTCCTCGCCATGTAGAACCACTCGGACGTGTTCTCCAGGTACTTGTACTCGACGGCCAGGTCCTTGACGAGGACGGGGCCCTCGGGGAGGCGGTAGGCGAACGGGCAGAAGAGCCAGTAGTCCTTGTACTGGTGCGCGTCGTAGCAGTTGCCGGCCGCGAAGATGTCGTCGTCGAACTCCACCATGGCCATGACGAGGGCGTGCAGCAGGTACTCGGAGTGCAGCACCTTGGCGCCGGCGTACTTCCACAGGCGGGTCAGCATGTTGGCGCGGTTCACCGCCACGTCGGCCTCCACGCGGAAGCGCTCCTGCGGACAAGGTACAAAGGGCGCTATAGTGTCGTTTCCGTCGCTCTGTCTCTCTCGCCATCGTCGGACGCTCCCCTATCGGCGCGGGAGCAACAAAGAGACGAAAAGGTCTCTCTGAACCAATCTGCTGTCTCGGTTGCATAGTGTCGCGATGAACATGAGGCACCATGAGAGAGAGACTGCGGAGTCAATACGCCTTGGAGGGAAGAGGCTTTGATCCGATCCTTTCAGTCCGTCGAACACTGACGTGCGGGCGAACGGGCGAACGGACAATGAGCGGGCGGACAGACAGACGGACAGACGGACAGACTGGGCCGGCAAAGCCGCCTGCAAGCTAAGTACGCTGATGCAGGCCGATGCGATGGGATGGGCCGGCCGGAGATCAAAACGGCCACAACGGGGTTAGAGGGCTGTGGCCGGCCGTGCCGCCCAGCGGGGCCGCCCCGCCGTGGCCACGACCCTCTCAGCCCTCTCATCACACCAGAGGAAAAAAAATCGACCAAGCAGCGTACCAACTTTACCTTTATGACTTTTAAAAAACTGAAATGTTGACGTAGTCGTTTCAATTCAACATAACCGAGGGAATTCTGGCCCGCTTCTTAAGCTTGTAACTTCGCCCGCAAACGGGCGTCTCAGTGGCAACCCGCACTGATACCAAGCCGGAAAGCAAACCGGAAACCGGAAACCCCGCGCTCTGGCGTCGCCGCGTTCGTCCTCCTGGGGTGCTCTGGGGCCCCCCCGCCGCCCCCGCCGCCGCCCCCGCCGCCAGCCCAGCCTTTAGCCTTAGTTACTGCGCCATATCTCGACGAGACGAGTGGCAGCGTGGGGGTGGGGCGGGATGGGGCGGGGTGGGGCAGTGCCGGGGCAGTGCCGGGGCAGTGCCGGGGCAGTGCATGGGGGCGTGGCGGGCAGTTACGACGGACACAGCGCCGTTGACAAGTACCAGCGCCAGTGCCAGCGGCAGACCCAGCCAGGCCGCAGTATCAAAGTTACACGCGCGTCGCCAATAGTTGGGATGTCCAGTCAGTCCCGGCCACAGCAGCCTGGTTCCGAGGGTCGCCCTGTCTCTCTCGCACTCATGGCCGGCGTCCCGCTCACGTGCGAGAGAGACAGGGCGACGAAAACGACTCTTGGAATCGGTCTGCAGTCCCGGCCAGCAGCGGCCTAGGGCAGCCAGAGGGACTCAGAATTAGCCGCTCTGCCGAGCAGCACAAGAAGGGGGTTCGGCTCTTGGACCTGGCGTCGTCTGGCGTGGACGTCTCGCGTCCCGGACCGGACGGCCAGGGCGCACCACGGCGTCAGTGATGGCCGAAGCGGTGCCCGTGCGCGGACGACTCCCAAAACAAGCTCCCCGTCCAGCCTCGCCTCCAGAGCCTCCAGGCCTGCCCGCCGCCCCGCAGAATCGGGCCATCGCCTGCTATCCATCCATATGCATGCAAAGCAACGCCATGTAACCGGGCCAAAGTTGTCGCAAAAAAAAAGGATTTTGTTTTCGTTCCGTTTTTGCGCGCGCCAGTTTTTAACTTGCGGCATGCTGTTGTCGAAAGTAACACCTTCGACACAAGTTTTGGCAGTTTACCCGGCGAGTGTTTTGCTGCTGCCACCGTTGGCAACCCTTGGCGAGCCTCGCCGCATCGACCATCGACACGTGTCGACGCGTCACAGCTGCCTACAGTGGCGGTGCTGCCACGCCACTGCCTCCTTCCCCGCTGCCACAGCTTTTTCTTGCATCTGTCTGCAGACTGATTTCGAGAGTCGATTTCGTCGCTCCGTCTCTCTCGCACCTGCACTTGACGCCCCGTTAGTGCGAGAGAGACGGAGCGATGACGCGTGGAATGAATGAGTCCGTGCCGCGGGCGGAAGGAGAGGAAGAAGGCTCTGCAGCGCGATTCGTCCTTCTCAAACAAAACACAACGGCGACCGGTGTCCTTGTTTCCTTCCCTCGCCTGCCCGGGCCTGGCCCGGGCTGCCTGGGCTGCCTCCGCACCGGAAGGGGATGGGGGTTGCCGCCCTGCCCTGGCCCTGCCCTTCGCATCGACAAACAACCCTTATATTGTCACACGAGACAAGTCTCTTTCCGTATTTTTATCATCCCCTTTATGAATATTGTCTCAAACCGTCCGACGCGCTCTGTGTGTGTGTCGGTGTGTGTGTGTGTGTGAGTGTGTGTGTGAGTCCCTTTCCAGCGGCGAAAATCACTGCTCACTGCCGGGTCGCGAACAGGCGCTCAAGCCAAATCGAAAGAGACTGTCACTGACAGTGCGGTGGAGCGGCACTCCGCTCGCTCCATCGCCTGCAATTGACCTCTTGGCTCCCCGCCTCCGCCGAACCTGCCAGACTAGACACCTGCCGGACCCGACCGAACTCCGATTGCCGATCAGTCCACTTGTCAGCATAAATGTTCCCAGACCTTTTTTGAAGCATTTTGTGATGCTGCCGAGTTCCAAAGTTCCTATTCGCGTGCTGGTATTTCGCTCCTTCGTCGTGTAGGTGAGTGTGGTAGTGGAGTCAACAGTTTGGCGGCATCGGTTCGCCACAAAGCCTCAGTCGGCAACGCGGCGCCGTGCAGTCGGCCGGAGCGTAACGGGAAAGCGAGAGGGCTCCCCGTAGTTTACAGTTTGTTCCCGCGGGAAGGGCGAGACTGGCTGAGGCTGCTGCTTCGACACCCGTCACAAACTTGGCGCGCTCGGCCCCTTTCACAGCACTGCCTCTCGTTCCGCTGTGTGTGTGTGTGTGTGTGTGTGTGAACCCACCAATTGACAGCCAGAGGTGTCCGGCCGGTCCAGTCCATCGGAGAGCAACGCAAGACCCTCGCGGGGGCACAACGCCTGCTGCAGACTGATTCCGAGAGTCGTTTCCGTCGCTCGGACTCTCTGGCGCTGCACGTATGTGCGAGAGAGACAGAGCGACGGAAACGACTCTCGAGATGTCTGCTGGTCAGTCCACCGAACCGCACCGTCGTCTGGAAGCTGTCCGAAACGCGTGTCTTCGCCCCGCGCTGTCGAGTCGCCCTCGTGCACCCTCGCCGCTCGCGCCTGGCTTTTGTCTCAGGGAGTTGTGTTCTCTTCGCTGCGCTGCCCAGCGCTGCCTTTTGACCAGTCACTGCCCGGCCGCGCCGCCCCCCGTCGCACTGCTTGAAGCGTTCCGGGTTCACGTTCCAGCAGGCTCCCCGCCGACTTCCTTCGAGAGTCTCGAAACAAACAGGGCGGAAGCAATCAAACTTTTATTCTGGCCGGTTGGTCCGCTGGCTGGTCGCCCCCTGCCTGCAAGCCTGCTTGCAGCTGGAATGCGCACCGTGCCTTCGCCGCCTGTCTCTGTCTCTCTTGCTCCTGGGGCGTCGCGCGGTGGTGCGAGGGAGACAGAGCGCGGCTTCCAGTGGAGCTGCTGACGGGACGGGGACGGGCTTGGGGACGGCAGAGCCCTGGCAGCGGGACGCATTGCCTCCGTAGCCTCCAACACGGCCTATGGCGCCTGCAATCGACGGGATAGGCACCACGGCCGCACGACTGCGCGCGCGCTGCCTACCTGCCATTACCATTACCATTAACGACTGCACTGCGCCCTCCACGATGTGGAACGAAACTAGGCTTACCTGCGCGTAGCGGTCCACCACGCCCTCGCCCAGGTTGAGGTCTGTGCCGGCGGTGCAGTTGCCGCCCAGCAGGTGCTGCGACTCGACGATACGCAGGAAGCGCGTCACGATGTCCACCTCGCCGGGGTCCACGCCGCCCACGTCATCCACGTCGTCGTCCTCGTCCAGCAGCGTCCGGTTGGCCTGCCGCGTGCCGCCGCCCTTGGTGTTGATGAGGGCCTCCTCGATCTCCTCCAGGTGGCCGTGCACGCGGGGCCGCGTCGTGCTGGGCACGTCGGCGGCGGCGGCCTCGGCGTCCTCGACGGGCGGCGTCGACGCCCTGGCCGCGCTGCGCGTCGTCCTCGCGTGCTGGCTGTCCGGGGCGTCGTTGTGGGCCGCCACCCACGGCGGACTCGGCTGCTGCGGCTGCTGCTGTTGCTGCGGGCCCCTGCTGTGCCGCGAGTGGCGGTGCCGCACGCCCCGGCCCTCGGCCCGGCCCTCGGCCCGCGTCGCGCTGGAGACGGCGAGGACGGCGACGAGCGGCAGCAGCAACCGCAGCACCAGCATGGCGAGGCGCGGCGGGGGCCCCGGGGCCCACTAGGTGGCGCTGGCGGCGACCCGGCCCGGACGGCCCGGACGGAGAGGGCCCGCGCGGACGCGGCCCGGCATGGCAGCCACAGCACCTGCCGCAGGGAAGGGACATACGGTCTCAAGGACAAGCTCTACGGCCTCATTCCCAAGGATCCTCTCGTCCCGTGTCTCCGTCGCACTCACGGGGCGGCCCGCCGCGTGGCGAGAGAGACAGAGCGACGAGAGCGTCCTTCGCACCGGAACAAGGTGAGCAGCCACTAAAGCAAAAGACAGCAAAGTGTTGGAATTCATCTCCGCGCGCAATATTCCAGGTGGCGGAGACGCGCCGCCATCTCACAGCCCCCCCCCCCTTCCTTTTCCGGCCCGTGGCGCGTGAACGGCACACTTTGCGAAAAATTACGCCGGTTCCAGCCCACCGCGTACCGAGAAAATGGACGCCCGACTCCCCACCCCAGCCAGGTGGCGCGTGGGTGCAGCCGCGGTCGTTGCCGCTGGAAACTCCTCCAGACGCCTCGCGCCACATCCTCCGCGCCGCGGGGATGATCCCGCAGTGCTTCGCCACCGCGCATCCGTCTCGCTGGAGACTGCCTCGACGAGCACGACGAGCACGACGAGGACGAGACACCCAGTCGCAGTCGGGGTGGCGGGCGAGGCGGCGGCGCGAGAGGCGCGCCAATGGTCACGGACGAGGGCAAGCTGGCGCGGCCCGGAGGCCGAGGCCAGGCCCGGCTAGGCCCGGCCCGGCCCCGCAGCGACCCTTTGCGCGACGCCGGCCCTTTTTCAGTCTCCGGGCCCTCGATAAGACTCCCCGCGCGCCAATCGGATTGAGTCCAGGATCCTATTTGTCGCAGGTCGGGCCTCCGAGTCCCCGGCCGGGCCGCCCCCGCGTCCTTGTCGTGGTGATAATCCCGCGGCACCGGCCCGGTCCGCCGCAGGGCCCCGCTGACGCCGCAGAGCCCGGTGGAGCCCCGCCCCGCCCCGCCGGCTCACGGTCAGGCAGGCCGGCAGCCCCGCCGATGCGCGGTGTCACTTTTCTTCGGAGACAACGGCTAAGGGGGCTTGTGTGCCCCTCGGCCGACCTCGGCGAGGGCCTCGACGGGGTGCTCGGCGAGGACGCACCGCCGCCGTCGTCTTACCCCCTGGCTGCCCCTGGCCCGCCCCACCCCTCTGCTTGGCTGGCTTTGCACGGCCCGTTTGACAATGGTAGTCTTTCTTTATATCCCCGGCCCGCTCCAGAATGCTGCGTCGCCCTGGCCGCCCCGCCCCGCCCCGCCCCGGACGCGGCGAGGGGCCGAGGCCGCCGAGGCCCCAGAGGAACGCGACACAGGACAGCCGGCAAAGGACCGGACCGGGTCGCTCGCCGAGTCCCGAGTGCAGGAGGTAAAGCTCGCGTCGGTGTTTGAAAACGTGTTTGAAAACGTGTTTGAAAACGTGTTTGAAAACGTGTTTGAAAACGTGTTTGAAAACGTGTTTGAAAACGTGTTTGAAAACGTGTTTGAAAACGTGTTTGAAAACGTGTTTGAAAACGTGTTTGAAAACGTGTTTGAAAACGTGTTTGAAAACGTGTTTGAAAACGTGTTTGAAAACGTGTTTGAAAACGTGTTTGAAAACGTGTTTGAAAACGTGTTTGAAAACGTGTTTGAAAACGTGTTTGAAAACGTGTTTGAAAACGTGTTTGAAAACGTGTTTGAAAACGTGTTTGAAAACGTGTTTGAAAACGTGTTTGAAAACGTGTTTGAAAACGTGCGCACACACGCTCGGCGCCGCAAGGCCGCCTGAAGGGCACGGTTCGTTCTCGACGCCTGGCCGCCGAGGCACCGCGGCACCGCGGCACCCCTCGTTCCGGCTGATGGCTGTGTGACTGCCACGGGGGCAACGGTGTCATCATCCCGCACAATGCCATTATCCTTTCCCGCAATAAAAATCGACGGATTTTCACTTTTTTTTACGACTTTGTTTTCCTGTACTTTTTCTTTGTTGCCCGCATCGTTACCGCAGTTTTGGCCGCGCCTGTATCGCCTCGCCGACCGCCAAGCACGCGCGCCGGCCGTGGTGGAGGGCCTCGATGGCACCCTGGAGCTCAATTACTGCATCCCTCTGTATTTTTCCCCAGGAGGGCGTTCAGGCGGCCTTAATTGGCGCTGCTGCTCGCGCTGCTGCCTGGCTGCCTGCCTGGCTGCCTGGCTGCCTGCTGGCTGACGGCCACCTCATAAACACAGACCCTCCCGGCATGCGGGGGCGTAAAGGGGCCGGTAACTGGGTGCGAGTCGTTAACGGTACGATTGGGGACGCACCCGTGAGCACCTGCGCACACACTCTCAGTCTCTCTCTCGCACGCACGCACGCGCGCACTCGCGAAATGCGAAGAAACATGCAGTGGCTTTGGAGCGAAACAAAATAATCTGTCTTCCGGACCCCGTTCTAGTGCAAAGAGAGAGACAGAGCGGGCGAGAGAGAGAGAGAAAAGGGGAGACTCTCCTAAAGCGCATTTGGCACCTCTCGCAGCAGCATCAGAGTCTGTGTAAGGCGCTGAGTCTACTTTGGTGCGAAGAACGCGGTGGAGGCCGGCCCGGGTCGCGCGGCAGTCTTGCCTTTTTCCATTAATTATACCGGCGTCCGCTCAACAGCACCCCCTCCTCTTTTTCCCCGCCCCTGCCCTCCCAGCCTCAACGGTCTTATTTTCCCTTAGTAGATCAGCAGATTGATTCCGAGAGTCGTTTCCGTCACTCTTTCTCCCTCGCACCTACAGGGGACAGCCGGGGACAACCCATGAGAGCGAGAGAGCAGCTGGGCCGGTGAAACTCGAGCGCGACTCCCAGTGCAGCGAAGGGCGAGTCGCTTCAGAAGTCTGGAAGTCGGAGAGGAAAGGGGGAACCTTTTGGCGGTGATTTGTCTACTCGTTTGTTGGCGTTTCCTGCTTTCTTTTCCTTCCCGAGAACACCTTTGGCGGCGATGAGGGCCGTCTAGCGAAAAACCGAGAGCGCGCTCCGAGAGCACTCCGCCGTGCCGTGCCGAGGCGTGCCGTGCCGTGCCACTCCCGCGCCGCCCCGCCCAGCGACCGGCGGACTCGCTCCCAGAGTCATTCTCGTCGCTCTGTCTCTCTCGCACCCTTGCCGCGTCGCAGGAACAGGTGCGAGCGGGACAGAGCGACGAAAACGATTCTCTCGGAATCAGTCCCCAGGCAAGTTTACCGGTGCGACGCCGGAGTGTTTCGTGGCTTTCGAATGAGTTGTTGGCCGTGGCCTCGCGGGGGGGAATCAGGTTGCCGAGCCGAAAGTGGCGATCGTCTTGCCGCCGAGGCAAACCGAGAGAGACAGAGCACCGGGACCTCCCTCTCAGTACTGGTCCGGCTAGGTCCGAGTGCCGGCCAAACAGGAACGCGCGTCCTTCACTCAATCCCTTTTCCCATATCGCTGACCGTAACTCTCTGAGCTCGCCGGGCCCGTCCGCGCGGTCCCGCCCCGCCCCGCTCCGCCCCGCCCGACATAAGAAAGAATATGTGAAGGCCCTGCCTGAACGGAGAAACGGGGCCGAGAACTAATGCACGCGACCGTATCATTACGGGTCACTGCCCAGGAATATTTCATGCGGTCCTCTCGCTCGGCGCGGCGCGGCTCGGGTCTCATCTCGCAGGCTCGCAGGGCGGGGCCGCGGGGCCGCGGGGCCGGCGGGCAGCGGTGTTCGCCTGGGACGCCAACCACTAATCGGGTGGGGACGTGGACCACCTGCCGGGGGAAGAGCAGAGACCAGGAAGGGGCGGTGGAACGGAGATTCAATCGGTTACGCGCCTTTTCCTCCACTCAAAAAAGGGTGGGTAAATTCAAATTCGATTAAAACTTTGTAAGACACTGTCACTAAGAAAACTCAAAAAAGGAGTTACCGATTAGGCTGATGAAAAACAGGCGGGAAACAGGTGCTTCCCCGAGTACGTCTACGCCAGAGACAAACATTTTTATTGAAAATTTTGTATTAATATTTTACTTGGTTGGCTATTGGCTTTAATCTTTTTCGACGCTGTAATATCGCTCGGTGCGCGTGGCCTGCGGCCTTATCATTGCAATCGCTTGGCTGCGCTTGGCTGGGCTCCGCCAACTGAGTACCCGCCGGTGCATCCCGACCTCGGAATCCCGTTAACGCGGCGCAGGCAATGGCAACTTGGCTATCCGGGCAAACCGCTTTCGAACTTCCGCGGCTTTTCCACCAAAATTTATTTGACTCCTGCGGCGGAGGCGGAGGCGGGGCGGGGCGGGGTCACCTTTGGTTTCGAGCCAAGTCGATCACGTCCAAGCGAGTCGACGCAAGTCAGGTGAAGTGAAGCGAGTGAGAGGGACGACAACCCCGAGATCAAGCGTGCATGAAGGCCACAGAAAGATCATGCCCCCTCCGTCAAAAAATAAAAATATGTATTATTTTTAGCAAGAGAATAATTTATAAAATACCAGTTCAAAGTCGGATAAAGTTACCTTTTTTGTGTAAAGATGCGGAACGGATTAAAAACTTAAGAGGGCGAAAACATAATTTTAAAGGTGGTTCCTCCTCGGAGGGCATCCACAAAACCCCAGGCGGGACTTTTTGGTCCTGGCTATCAAAGCAGTGATCAGCAGCCACACAGCCCTCATCAGAGCAGTGTGAGATGGAGGAAAGGGGGGGGGGGGCTTCGCGCCCCAGCAAGCCAGCATTTGGGAGGGGGCTCTCTCCCCTGACTACCCCAGGCAAAGCCCCAGGGAATGTTTGCACCCGCAGCAGAGGCTGCAAGGCGGGAACGGGGAGGGGAAGTTGGTCCGATCGGTTTGCCAACTCACATCAGTCAAAGCACATCGCCCCGCCGCCGGCCTGCAGACTGATTCCGACAGTCTCTCTCGCGCCTAGACGCGACGGCCCTCAGTGCGAGCGAGACGGAAACGCCTCTCAGTGTGCTGGGCCTGGTGGCGCGCAATATCCCCGCCACCATAACCACCAGCGCCGCCACCGCTAAACCGCCATCGCCACCCGGCCCCGCCCGGCCCCTGCTCCTTCAACCACCACTTCCACGGCCACAGCGGCCGCGCCGCCGAGCCGCCGCGCCTCGCTCGCCCTGCCAGCCCTCATAAGAGCCTCCCGCCCCCACGTGAGTGCCGATGTGGTCTGGCTGGTCTGGCCTCGGTCGGCCGGGATGAGTGCAATGTCATGCAGTGGCGCACTTCCGGGGCGCTGTCCGGGCCCTCCACCTCCTACGCCCTCCGCCGGCCCTGCCGCCCTCCCGGACGCCGCAGCGGCCGCGCCGGCCCGCGCCGAGGACGACAGCGACAGTTATTGGACTGGCCGGCTGAGGCGGCTGGAGCGACTACTTGGGCACGCACTCGCCCTTGTTGGGCGCGACGGGACTGGACAGGACTCTGTTTTGTCGGGGCCCCTGCAGACTCCTCTGTCTCTCTCGCACTAGGGCGTCCCGTGGCCGAGAACGACTGCGAGGAAAACGACTCTCGGAGTCAGTGTGCCGGGCCAGGCCGCCAGGCCGATACAGGAGCGTATACTTCAGAATCCGTCCGCCAGGGCGCGCCTCACGCGGGCTGGGTTTACCCAGCGCCCACGCATCGCTCCGCGTTGCCCCGCATGCCACTCGGGGATTTCAGTCCACCTCCATTCACCCTATTGGCCCGGTGAGGGGGCCGGAGGGGGGGGGAGGGGTGCGAGGAAGCGCGCTGCCGCCCGTGCCGTCGCTCTCGCTCCCTCGCCCGAAAAATAACATTCCGTCCAATATTGACTCGAAAAATTACACTCCCCGCCTTTGAAATCAACATGAACGGCAGCAGCCGCTCTACAAGGAAAGAATAATGTGAATCAGCGTGGATTTACATGACACGCGACGCGCGGCCCGCCCACGCGCTGCTTCCCAGGACTTCCTTGGGGCCGGGCGAAACCCGCAATGTGGCACTCTTTGCGTACTTTGGCGGCGTGCAAATATTACGTCACCCATTTTAGAACAAGGGGGGCACCCATCGGTTTAACCTAACCTTTCCATGTGTTAATTTAAGATAAGACCGTCATCAGGAGCCAAAGCCTCAACGCAAAATCCCAATTTGAGTGACCTAACCTAACCTAACCTAACCTAACCTTTACATCGAAGACGGTTAGCATTTAGAGCGCAATGCGGAATCGAGTTGTCCTAAGTTCACAACTTAACGCTCGCCGTTCGACCTTGCACCTTAAAGTTGGCTTTTTCTTGTTTGTTTTTTTTTGGACAAGTTGGAAGTCCTTAGGTCCAGCGGCGGGCACGGCGGGGGTGGCCCCCTCCCAGTGTCACGGGGGCGTGGAAGTCGGTGGAAGTGGCCCGTAAGTGAAACGGGCGGAAGTATGCCGCTGTTACGCCAGGCCGACGTGCCTCGCATGGCGTAGCATGGCAGCATGGCGGGCGCCCCAGCGGACGGCGACGTCCATGGCCTAGCAACCTGCATGAGCGCGCCAGGTAAGCCAACGGGCAAACTGAACCGCAACGCGCCGTAGAATAAATAGAAAAGGGTGGAAACAAAAAGAACGAAACAGAAAAAAAAGAATACGATCTCGCCTGCGCGGCGCTCGCCACACAAGCGGCCGGTCACGTACGGCATGACCAGCATGACCAGCACGCGAGTCGGGCCAACAACGAAATGGCCCAAATCCCCAACGAGCGCTTTTATACTTTTAATAAAAATTATAATTATATCCGTATGGAGATTTTAATGTAACGAAAGAGGCCGGAACATACGGGCCCGTTAAGCACTCTGGGCTACATGGCAGCCGCACAGAAATTAAAGTGAGAAACGAGCGCTGTCGTCCAGTGTAGCGTGAGGGGGTAATATGCACTCTCAAAACCCTTGTGCCCCGAAATCATCGAAGGTCAGCTAAAATAGCCCAAAACAACCCAAAAGTCAAATTTTGAGGATTTCTGTCACTGTAGTGTTACGGGTAGGATGCATGTGGGAGTGCATGCCCCCTCGGTTTGTTGGTTACTCACGGAGGGCACGGCTGCTGTGGCACCTCCGCGATGACACCCTCCCTCCCGGTGGCACCCGACCCGGAGGCCTCCCGAGCGTCGCGCGGACTCTACGCGCCGCGAGCTCGCACACGTCGCTTGCGCCCTGCGGAGGCCCTCGGAGGCTCAGCGCCGGCACGTCACTTCACGTCGGCACGGTGAGGCTGCGGCGGTGGCGTGGCGCGGGGTGGCGGAGCGCGGAGCGGAGCCGCCAGACTCGACTGCGCTGCGAGCGGACTCGTGTTGCGCGCCCATTCAGTCCCGGCTGCTTCGGCCGCCCGCCGCGTGGGGGCGCCACGGTGCAGCGGCCAGCCACACGGCTGGCAGTGGCGCGAAGGCGGCGCGGCGCACTCTCCGAGATCCGGGCGAAATGCGAGTCGTGAACATGGCGTGGGGGTCGTCGTTTGATTTCCCTCTGCTCGTCATGTCGTCGTTCTTTGCAAGGGCAAGCGTGCCCCGCCAGCATTATACATGCGAAGCAACAAGCGGCGCGCGGGTTGCCGCGGCAACGCAAGGCGGCATGCCCAATTTCCGTTTAAACTGAAAACTGAGGATCCCGGAGCAGGCCCGCGAACGCCCTTATGAGGCCCCATGGAGGGGGGCGAGGGCCGTGCTGGCGGTGCGGGCCGTGCTGGCCGTGCGGGCCTAGAGGAAGGCGCGGGGCGTCACCGCCTTGAAGAGGGGCGTCGCGAAGCCCTCCTCGCGCTCGGCCCGGCCGTCAGGAGCAGCGCCGTCACCGCGGGCACTGCAGGGACTGCCGCCGAGGCGCTGCGAGGAGGCCTACATGAAGGCCTACATGAAGGCCCAGAGGCAGCCGGGGCCGAGATCTGCGCCGGGGACGGCGTCGACGCGGCCTCGGACTCGACCACGTCCACCGGCAGGGGCGAGGCCGGCGAGGCCAGGAAGGCCACCGTGCTGGAGACGCACGGCTACACCGTCGGGGAGACCATCGGCTCGGGGTCTTACGCGACCGTCAAGGCAAGCGCCGACCATTCTGGCACGCAAGCACGACGACGAGCCCGGCTCGACAACACGTGTTTGGGCTCTGTCTCCGTTTCCGTCCATCCAGGTCGCCAAGTCGGAGAACCACGACTGCAAAGTGGCCGTGAAAATCGTGTCCAAGTTCCAGGCGCCCATCGACTACCTCCGCAAGTTCCTGCCGCGCGAGATAGAGGTGGTGAAGGGGCTGCGGCACCCGAACGTCATGCGCTTCCTGCAGGCCATCGAGACCACGCACAGGTACACGGTGCACCAGCACAGCCCCTTCCATGCCGTCGGCGGCGCGGCGGTGGGCCTTCCCCAGCCAGGGCGCGCTCCCGCCACGCGCCTTGCGCGCGGTGAAGTAGTTCCGGCGGCCGCCGCTAGATGGCAGCACGGCCTTTTCGCGGCGCGCTCAATCGGTTAAATAACGTTAGACACGGGGCTTTGGCCCCACGCGTGGTTTCGGCGCTGTGAATCGGACGGCGCGATGGGTCTGTCCTCCGAGAGCGATCGGGCGGAAGGCGCTCCCGACCGGTTCAGCGGAGGGAATGACTCCAAGTTGCCTCGCGGTGATCGCCACGCTCGGCGCATCAAAGGCATCCCCCCGCCAATCCGTCAGCAATTCGTGCCTTAAACTAATGAGTAAGGAAAATACAGAGCCCTGGTGACGCTTGGCTCCGCTAATACAAATTAGTTTTTCCAATTTTTGAAGGGGTTCAGGTCGTCCTCTGGAGTCTCGCCTACTTTCGCGGGACATCGGAGTGTAGCGATCTACCCTAATAAAAAATAAATAAAACTCGTGAGAGGAAATGCCCTTGCTGAGACACTCGTCGCTCCTGGTTGGCAGAGTGTACATCGTGATGGAGTACGCGGCCAACGGCAGCCTCCTGGACGTCATCAGGCACGAGTCGCACATCGACGAGGCGCGAGCACGCCGTTGGTTCGGCCAGCTTGCCGACGCCGTGCAGTACTGCCACGACCTGGGCATCGTGCACAGGTAGAGCGTCGTGTGGTTCCCAAATTGATCAAGTACAGCAGTTGCTTCTTTTTGAGCTAGCCAGTGAGAGTTGCCCCCGTCCCGTCTCTGTCTGCCCTTTGACAAGAGACATAAAGTGCGAAAACCTGCTCATGGATGGGGACTTGAACATCAAGCTCTCGGACTTCGGCTTTGCCCGAGGGCTGACGGCGTACCGGGGTGAATCCGCTAGTCAAGGTGAGAGCGCAGGCAGTCTGGACCTCAAACCCCCCTATCCTGTCTTTCTTCTTCTTCTTCGTCTTCTTCTTCTCCTCCTTTACTCCACCCCCGGCCAGGCGCAGGGGCCCACCTGTCCGAAACGTTCTGCGGTAGCTACGCCTACGCCTCCCCGGAGATACTCCGCGGCGTCCCTTACCAGCCCCAGCTCGCGGACATCTGGTCCATGGGCGTGGTGCTGTACGCCATCGTGTTCGGTCGCCTGCCGTTCGACGACTCCAACTTCAACCAGCTGCTCAAGGTAGCGCCGGTGGCGCCCTGATCTGAGCAAGCAGGATGGCCCTGCCGGTGCCAGAGGCAGCCAGAGGCTGACAGTGTGACGGTGGTCTGCAGCAGGTGCAGGCCAAAGTCCGCTTCCCCGACGAGCCGCGTGTGTCCGCGGCCTGCAAGGCGCTCATCCGCCGCATCCTGGCGCCAGCGCGCGCGCGGCCCCGCCTGTCCGCCATCCGCGCCGACGCCTGGCTCGCGGCCCGCGACGCCTCCGCGGCCGTGCTGCCCGCCTTGCTGCCCCCCGCCCCCGTCCCCGCGACCGCGTGCGCCTCCGCCACGGTAGGCCCCATCTGTGTTCTGCGCGGGGCTCATGAGGGAGATGAGAGAAGCTAGTCTTTTGTTGTAGTTGTTTATTGGTCACAAGTCGCATCCATGCTCACATACATATGAATAACATAAATTCATGTACATATGAATAAAATTGGGACTAGCTTAAATGATCACAGATCTTGAAAGTGAACTTAAAAAAATATAGCATCAAAAACCACCAAAAGGAAAATAAAAAGTGAGAGAGAGACAGGGGAATAAGACTCTCAGAAGTCCATAGGGCTACATGATACTGCTTTCATACCTATTCCTTCACAACTAATTAAATTAGTCCCATCTGGGCATTCCTCGACATGGAAACGTGCCTGAAACAAGGACAAGAGCTTCAGAATATTTTTGAAAAAAAATATATATTTGAAAGGGAAAGGTTCATGTAACTCTTAATTTACCTTGGAAAGTTTTTCAGCAATGTAAATTGCTGTTTTGGTGTGTAAAGTAAGTGGGCCACATTTAATCCTTGACATTCCATCAGCTAAGGCCATTAAAATTATCATCTGAAATCAAAGAGGAGTCAAATGGTTAAAAACTATAAACCTATCTATAACAAAACAAAATGTGTCTTTGGTCAAAAATAGGAAATTACTTGATCTTGAATGTAACTGTCAACACAACCACCACATTTAATAGCACCTAGAAGATCTGAAACTGCTTGAGCAGAAACTTCTTGAGTGTTCAGATGTCTTTTTCCGAGAGCTGAACCACCATATATACATCCTGTGCTTGTTTCAGCAAATAAACTGGGAAAGGGTACAGTCAAACTTTTTAGAAAGGAGAAAATTATAATTCACCAACAAGGAATAAGGCAACATTTGATGTCCTCACTTGATTCCTGAACCATTCCCCACTGCTTGTTGAGGATGTTCTTTGTAGCCACTAATTACAACTGGAATTCCTTCAAATGTTGATTGGATCTGATTCTGACAAAGTTGGGCCATTTTGTTGGCATCCTAAAATTTAATGAGAAAACTGATTTAGTAAGTAGGAGATTGCACAAAATTTTGACTGAAGAAATAATTTTTACCTGAATGTTGAAGCTCCCTGCAACAAATGCTCGTCCCCAAACACGAGTTACATGACCTGCATCAACCAAATTCACAGGTTGCAGGTGTGATACTGGGTTGATGTTCATCCTGACCAGCCCACCACCACGTGGAAAATACCCTCTGTAAAAAAATATAAATTAAAAAATTTTAAATTGAAATCCAAAGCGACACGTATTTTGTTAATTTATGTTTTACCTTTTATCAATACTTCCATCAAATGTGGCTCCAAATTTTTCTAAGACGCCTTTAAAAACCTAAATAATGAAACACACATGAGAGGAAAATAATAAACACCGAATAAAGTAGCGACAAATGAATGACAGGTATTGAGCACAAACCGTCACAGTGTAGTCTATCTGAGGAGCCATATCAGCATTAGTGCCTCCTCGAAGAATAAGCTGGACAGGTGATGGCGAAAACAAGGCGCAGGGCAAAATTACTTGAATCAATAAACTAACACTCCTGAAAATAAAAATTTGTATGATAAGTAAATACAATAACATCAACATAAAGCTATGTCAAATAAGAGTACAGAAGACAGACCCAGCAGTTTGGGTATCTGCAGAAAATTCTCCGCCAAGAAGATGCCCAGGATGAAATACGATCTCTGTTGACTGTAAACTACAGCCCCATAATTTTCCACCACAAATATCTCTTGCCACTTCCAATCCTTTTAAATGCTGAGGGCGTAAGCCTGGCTTATCTCTTCCTGCACGGATATTGTTGACTCGAATAGGAATTTGTTGAATGGCACTCAGCGATACAGCCAGTCTAAGGATCTGGCCACCCTAAAACACAGACACAACACCACATAAAATATAATTTAATTCAGTTATTTACTAAAACCAGGAGTCGGTGCTCTTGTCAAACAGCATTTAACCTCAAAATATGCATCTTTACTACATTGAATTTATCCTGTTCTAATCACGTTCTTTGATCTAACAGAAAAATTTAGACAAATAAGAAAATTCTTAACATTTGACTGTTTCCGTCTTTCCCTTGGTGACCATTTTACATACCCCTTCAAGAACACTGCCATCGATGTCAACCTCTTTTCCACTCATTTTAAACGATCGTGACTGTAGTCTTATCAGAGCGGCTACACGCCTGAGAGCCAGACCTGCCGACCTGCCCACCCGTTAGAGTTATCAAACCCTGGACCCCTGACCCCTGGATTCTGTTCAGTTCTCGCCGCCGGTGTTCAGTTTTAAATTGTAGGAGAGAGAGGGGAGGAGGTGCAAGGAGGGGGGGGGAGACTGATGTGGGAGAGGGGAGGCAGAGGCAGAAGGGGAATGTTGACGTCCCGGACCCCGTCGATACCCCGTGCTCGAGAGGTCCTGAGTTACAGGATTAGAGGAGAAAAGCAAATAGTTAGTCATTGTGAATCATTGTTTTATTGCTGCCCATAGAATGCAATACAATTTGCTAACACATTTTCTAATGCACAAACTTCACACAAAATTGAGGTACAGGCAGTAGAAAGATTTTTACAGAGTCAAATAGTCTGAAAATAGAAAATTTGTAACAAAATGAAAAGAAAATCAGACTTTGCTCTAGAGGTCTTAAATTTATTACACATTGAGCTGGTGTGAGAATGGAGATCGAGTCATAATTGACTCACTGCTCTTCAATTACATTATTGAGATGGTCTTTAATGTGCAATGCAGTTGTGCATACATTTTTTTTCGGTAAAGTAATTAAGATCTTAAGATGTCTAAGAATCCAACAGTCTCACCATAAGGAGAACAGGGTAGCTAGGGTGGAAAACAAGTAGTGCCCAGCACAGTGGCGGATCCAGGGGCGGCCTTTGAGGGGAAAGTGGCAAAGTAGCACTTTTTGCCTACTTACAGGGGCAAAGTAGCACTTTTTGCCTACTTACAGGGGCAAAGTAGCACTTTTTGCGAACCTTTCAGGCGGCTATCTAGGGGCTATGGGTGGGGGGCCAAAAACCCCATTGCCCCCTCCCCCTGTATCCGCACCTGACCCAGCAAGAAAAAAAAAAACAAGACTCACTTTAACCCAAACTATTGGGAAAATAGAAATTAATCCTTGCTGTAGATATTTGTTCACAAAAGCCTCATCACATAAATTTGTTTTTGTTGGACCATTGCATAACACATTAAAGCTATAATCAGATCTCAGTCAGAAATGCACAACACAAGTAATATGGCAAAGATGTCTTTACCCAGAAAGTTACTGGTAAATATTCAACTCAAATTTGACTTCAACCTCTGAATTTAACCTGACAATTCTCGCTGGGCCGAGGTTGGCTGTCATGCCATGTGCAAAGAGCTTTGAGTCATGAGAAATATAATATCAATTCTAAAACCTACAAGGAATGAATTGGACATGAACATGAATAGAACAATCTAACAAGTTTTTGAAGTCACAGAGATGCTACAGGTAACACAAAGCTGACAAACTTCTAAATACTTTTGTGAGGAATTAATACAGTAATCCCATTCAAAAATAGAAAACAATTTTACATCCGTACAGAATATGCGTAAATTTATGAATGAAAGCTGTAGTCTCGTCATTGACACTGAAGTAATACAATCCAACAGAAAGCTTATAAGCATAAAGCACTTGCAAGAACACACATAAAAAATAAGTCCTAAAGTAAAACATACCACTCTAGGGTTGTAAGGGTCTACTCCGATTCTAAAATACGGTACACTTACTTTAAATTGGTGCACAACAAATGAAACTTAAGTATTGTCATGTGCAGTCTTCAGACCAAGACTGGGCAGCATGATGAGAATATTTAACATAAGAAGTTGCCATTATCACTGCAATACATAAAATAGAAACTATTTAAATAAAAATAAAAATAATTTATGGCTTTAAAAGAAGGTTGAAACCAAAGTACAGTTATAGCTTTTTTTTTTCTTAATGAGCCTACCCCTGCTCAACTTTCATTATGGCATCAGTTAAATAAGTACACAAGATGATATTCATAAATTAGGTAAATAATATCACATTGGAAAAAAAATCAGATATCGAAACTAAAAGTATACAATTAAGGAGAAAAGGCTTTGGCACTTTGTTCCAATTTCAGAAAGAAAGAGAAAATATTTTTTTGTGCTTTAGAACACAGAAATGTTGTCAACATCTCTAAGGCTTGGCAACAGGTAGGGTGGGGTAGACAGGAGCAGATGCATTAGGAGCTGCAAGAGAAAAAAATTGTACAAGAGTCAGTAGGAGCTCCAAGGTAATTAAAAATTAATCAGACTTTAAATGAGCTGTTACCAATATATGGGTTGGAAGGATGTTGTGCAGGATATTGTGCAGGGTAGTAGGTTGGCGAACTAAGATTGTATGCAGGGGGTAGAGTGACGCCTGCAATCAGAAAACAACAACCTGGGAATCTGCCACTGCACATTCTTACAAATACTGCTCATACTTTAACCAAGCTTGCATTTGCACCCAGTTCATGGTCACATGAGATTTCTTCCTTCCATTGACTTGCGCATTTCTTAAAATAGTGGGCATCAGATATAGAATAGAAATATAGTAACAATCCCAAAGATTAACCAAATATATTTTTTGACAGCATGCAATAATCGCTGTGTTGATTAATTTAGTTAGTTCAACATGCAAAAAAAAACACACATACAAAAAGAAACAAACCCAAATACAAGACTAGGTAGTCTTACCATAAGGCAGAGGAAGCATAACTGGCGGTAGATATTTCCTCTGACAATATCCTTGGTTAAATTAATGTTCACGCAGGTCCTATGACAAACATGTGACCATAAAAGAAGCAGGAAGCATGCAAATATGAGAAGACCAAGACAAGCATAGAAAAAAATGAACAACGACAGGGACATTACTAATTCAAAAACTTTAGAGAGTTATTACTATTATTAAAAATAAATGGCAATTACTTCTGATTGGAGTGAACATAGGCACATGAACCAACTTTGGTCATAATCAAAGAAAATAGCAAGCAAACTAACAAAATACTAAATCAAATCTATAAAAGCAAATTTAAATAGGCTTGTTCAACTTTCTGCCTAAGCTTGGGCTTGTCTTTCACCTCAGCTTGAAAGTATGTAATGAAATACTGCAATACATGAGAAGTCTTGTAAGGCAATATTTGCAATCATTTTTGTAAAAGACCTGAGGCTTAGTGTTAGTTAAGTGTTAGCTCAACCTTGTGTATACCAAAGAGAGGATTGCAACTAAAAGTTGCATTCTTACCACATCCTTTAGTCTGCATGTAAAAGAAAAAGAACAGATTCAAAAAGATAATTCTTTGGAAGTGGGAGCACAAGATTTGTAAAATGCATGAAGAGAAGTACAGAACACATATTAAATTTAAGGGACCAGAATTGAGAATTGATAGCGATATGAGGTGTGAGAATCACAGACAACAAAAGCACACCATTCATTATCACATGAGTCTTTAAGGGGCAATGGAGTAGCACTAACTGTTGTACACAGCACCTTGGCGGCGCCGTCTGTAGCAGGGGCAGCATGAGCAGCAACAGCAGCAGATGAAGAGCACCGTCGCAACCAGGACAACCACCCCAACCGCAATCAGGATGATCATAGTTTGCTGGTCCAAGAAGCCACTGCAACAAAAATTACATTTAATCACGAACAAATTCAACACAAAATACAACTGTGAAAGTTAACTGATTTCCTAAGGTAAGACTTACCCCTTGAAGTACTCCTCTTGAGAACAGCAGTAGTGGTTGTCATTGTAATCGTAGCAGCAGTAATCCTTTCCCGGGATTGGGCCACAAAGCATACAGGCTGGAAAATCGGAGAGAAGAATTCAGAAAACAAGTTTACAGACTCCAGCAAGAAGGCAAAACCAAATTTACAAGACTTCAATTTTCAAAAGAAGTCTCAGAAAAGTGACGACCTGTTGCAGTTCAGGTATTTTTAAAAGAGGAACAAAGTGTGGAATTCCCCGAATGATGAGCAAGATAGACCGCCTAAACAGAGAGATCAAGGGATCAGTTCGTTTGAGACTGCTTGCTTGGCCACAGTGGGTAATTCCCCAAGACGCGAACTAAAGGCTTGGAGCCGAGTTCGAAATTTGCTAAAGATCGACGAGGACGTGCAACCGGAAGCACATCAACTGCATCAGCAGCAGCAGCGCGTTCCGCATCAGAGAGGGCTGGCGGCCGACGATGCCGCCAAAGCCCAAGTCTGTCATTGTCATCCTTGGTTGGTCTTTGAGCTTCAACACGGAAGACAGGACGGGACGAGCGACCTAACCTCACTCCGCGACCTCTGCCGGCCAGGCGACGGCGACGGCCGTGGTCCCGGTGCCCAGCAGGTCACCGTCGTGCCGTGTTGTGGTGGTCTACAGGTCCTGTCACGCCCCTAGGGCCCGCGCCCCGCGCCTGCCCGCTTGTCGGCCGTAGGCGCGTCCCACCGCGGAAGGGCTAGATCGATAAGGGCTGGGCTGGCAGGGCGTCAACAACAACACGACGAGCATGGCGGGGTAGGTGGCCCTCGAGCCAGCCCTCGCCCTCGTCAGCCCTGGGGATCGCAGATTTGTACTCACTGTAAGCCTGAGTGGAGGCGAGCCCCGCCAGCACCAGCGCGAGCACGGCGAACATGGTGTGGAGATTCGGCGAGAGGAGCAGCGGATGAAAGGAGAGGGCTCCGCGAGCAGCAGCGGGACGGCGACGGCAACACGCACTCGGTAGCAGAGGTCCTCTCGCACAAAGCCTCGCCGAACGGAACGGGACGGGGCGCGCGGCACGGCCAGCGCTGCGGGCGGGGAGGGGTGGGGGCGGTGGGCGGCGGAGGGAAGGGTGGCCCCACCCCGCCCTGCCCCGCCACGCCCCGCCACGCCCCGGTGGCGTGCGGCGTGGGAGTCATCCCGTCCCTCTCGCCCTCATTCATCGGGGCGGCCCGCGCAATGGGAGCGAGAGAGACAGCATGCCGTCCCGAGTGCACAGGCCCCTCTCGGAGTCAGCCGGAGCGGCAAAGCGGCGCGAGAGGCCAAAGGAGAGGGGCCTACGGTGATGGTGGGGGCCTGCGTGCCCCCCCCCCCTCAAAGTTGGGGCACTCCGTCTCTAGAGAGACGCACAGGTGGTGGCAGGACGGTGACTCACGGGCTGGGAAAAAGAAAGGATGCTACAGGAGCAGCTGTCGTCATCAGCTACGGGAAACACACTAGGAATCACCGAGGCGCCGGGCCGACCAGTTAGCTTGTCGCACAGTGGAGTCCCAGCGAGAGAGCACTGCAGCGGATGCTGGGATACTGTACAATGTGTACAGACAGTCGTCTCCCGAACGATTCGAGACAAGACAGCGGGCACAGACGATAGCACAGCAATCTAAATATAGTTCAATCACTTTGGTGTCGTGTCAAGAGGTCAAAAGGCCGTGCTGCAGGTGCGTGCGTGCGCGTGCGCGAGTGGTCGGTCATGTGGGTGGCGTGTTGCCCCCCCCCCCCCCAGCCGCCCCGCCCTCCACTCCAAATATTTGGGTGCGGGTAATTTTTCCTGAAATGAAGGGGGATGGTCATCTCTTCCGAGGGGGGTGAACGGTGGGAGGTGGTGGGAGCGGAGCATGGGAATGGCGTGATGGACGCGGACGGGGGGCAACCCCAGAGGCAACCCACGAGTGGCAACCCCAACTACAACTGCACTGCACCGCGGAAATAAATTGACGTACCGCGGACCAATTAGCCTGATGCACCCTCCCTGACGTCCACTGACTGACACTGTCCGTGACTCACGCATTCGCTATCGACCGATAAAGTGACTGTCTATTTTAATTTGCGGCTTCCACCGTGGGAGACCGGGACCCGGAGATCCCACACAATGCAACAAAAGTACCCTAATTTTTATGTACCTCGCACTTCGTTTTTCGTGCCTAGTTTTGGAGTACACTTTTTATGTTTTTTAGACTGCACTTATTTTTTCATACGTATTTTTTTGCGTTAGAATGGGATTTACTCGACGTCTGGCCACGGAGTCCGCCACTGTGTTAGCTCGGATTATTTAATTTGCGACACCAAGAGGATTACAATGAAAAAGACGCCTAGAACTGCTTTATATTAGAAACAAAAAAAAAAGCAAAAAAAAGGAAAACATAAAAAAACGAATATACTGTACGTTCATGTTTTGCTGGAGGCGAAGGGAAAGGGGTGAAAGAAAAAACTCAAGCAACGATTGCGACAAGCGAAGGTAGGGGTCCCATGCAAATTTGCGCTTGGTTGGAGTTGGGCAAAGCAAGGCGCAACCAGGAAATTTTCATATAAATTAGCCGACGGAGGGTTAGCTTCACATTTCCGTGCGTTTTATCGAACTTGTGCAATGGTCTCGCGGCTTAGGAACGCGTCCTGCAGACTGATTCCGAGACTCATGTTCGTCGCTCTGTCTCGCTCGCACTCATAAGGGGCGTCCCGTGTGCGAGAGAGACAGCGGAATCGGTCACTGTGCATGTCTGGCCAGGCCATGTCGTCGGATGGGATGAGTGCGGCAGCGGCGGCAGCGCAGTGAACATTGGATTAGCGGCGACCCCGCGACCGCGCCCCGTTGGGCCTGCGGGCGAGACCGTGCCCTGGGGCCGTGGGGCCGTGGCCCCCTGCCCACTTGACGCATGGCCGCCATGGCGGTGGCCCCGCACTGGCCGCACCCCGGGGCTCGATGCGGGCACGGGCACACGCAACGGCCGAACGCGGCGAGCTGCAGCTGCTCTATGCTCTGACCCGACCCGCCTTCACGCCTTCGCGTGCCTCGTGCCTCGGCTGCTCAAGCCCCTCAAGCAGCGCTCAAGCGGACTGCGGTCGCGCAAACGAACGCCTCGCGGGACGCGGCAAATTCGGCGGCCTCGCGACTTGCCGGCGATCGTGAAGGTGCGCGAGCCTGGCTTCGGACGCTGCGCGCAGCGGGGCCTCCAGTTGGGCCTGGGCCACGCCTGGGGCCCCGGGCCCCAAGGTGACTGCTCCCTGCAAGGCCACGGCGCCCTGCCCTGCCCAGCACCTCGGCGTCGTGCGGCGTCTCGGCGTCTCTTTCGGCCCGGCCAGGCAATTCAGACTTGTCGTTTCGTCGCTCTGTCTCTGTCACACTCATGGGGCTCTTCATCAGGGCGCGAGAGAGAGAGCGCGCGCTCGGCCGGTCCATTCACTTGCTTCGCATCGGAATGCGCGCACCGAGAGGCGGCTCTTCCGGTCGGGCCGTCGGCGCGTCCTCCGCCGCCATTTGTCGCACCGACGCCCCCCCCCCCCCCCCCCGCGACGCCTCATCGCACCGCGCAGCACCGCGCAAACAGCGACATGGCGATCTCCGCGATGACGGTTCCGAGAACGGCGTCTTCGGAGAAATTCAGAATCGGCCGCTTGATTCTGATCATTTCGTCGCTCTGCCTCTCTCGCACTCATGGGACGTTGCGTAGGCTCACGAGAGAGACAGAGCGACGACGCGATCTTTCGGAATCACGCGGCAGATCGTCGAACTCGGGGCGGCCAGCAGAGGCTGCAGCCAAAGCGTCGCGTCTTGTCGTGGGTGGACGCCTCGGAACACTCGGGACGTCAGGATGAAAAAGCAAGGTCAAGCCCAAGCGACAAACAGAGAGCAGGGAGCGCAAAAGGGAGTCGATGGCGCCTCTGTAACTAGGGCCTACGATACGCGAGCCCTCTACGGCGCGCATTGGGGCCACACACAGGCCCCCGGTCGAGCGTGAATTACCCACGACCGCGCACCTCTGCGTCTAGAAGACGCAGACTTCACGGCAACTTAGATCAAGCACCTCGCTCGTGTGCACACAACCAAATTGGCTGAGCGTCCTGTGAAGGACACTGGCATGAACTCTGGTAGAAGTTTCAGAGACATCGGACTCCCTTGACGGCCCGGCGCAGGACGCGGTGTATATATACCGCAGAGTGCGATCCGAAGACACCAGCGAGAGGCAAGCTTCGGCGCCCTCTCGGCACTCCCTGGTGTGCCCCAGACGACCGGGACGGGTACCGACCGGCAGCACTTGATGCACTCTTTCGAGGGATGCATCGGGGAGACCTGTGTCTGCAGCCGTTCGCGCACAAGACCCAAAAGTGCCTCGCGCTGGCCGAGTGCCGGCCGAGAAGCACCGCTAGCGCTGCAGGCGGCAGCTCGGGGAACTATTGCAGTACTGTGCGAACACCCCAGTGTGCGTGCCGGCGTGTCAGGCTGCTCGCCTGGACCGTGGCTCGGGTGACTAGGGTGACTTGGCGCGGGACTTGACGAGCTTGGCGGAGCGCTAGATGGCGACGTACGTGCAGCCACAGCGTAGTTCCAGCCGCCTGCCAGAGGCCGTGGCGCCGTGGCCGCGTTCCTCGCGCGGTCCAGTGCCAGCCACACTTGCACCCCCATCGCCGCCCCTCCGCGCCGCCGCGGAGGCCGCCACCCCCCGACCGGCGCCCCAGTAGTGGCGGGTGGCGCCAAGGGCCCTGGCGTACTGGCGCCACTCCGGAGCGCCGCGCGGAGCGGCGGGGCGCGGCGGGTGTTCCGCGGGGGTCGCGGGGCGGCGGCCGTCGCCGTGACGGCCTTGGGGACCGTCTCCGAGGCACGCGGGCTCGGCCGCACGCACCGCGCATGCACCACAGCCTGCCTGGCCTCGTCGCTCCGGGACGCCCCCTCGTTGCAGTCTAGTGCAGGGCCGGCGGACTGATTCCGAGAGTCGTTTTCGTCGCTGTGTCTCCGTCGCGTCCAGAGGGGACGCCCCACGAGTGCGAGAGAGGCAGGAGGGTCTGCGAGGGCCAGGCCTGGGCTAGGCCGCAGCCGCGTCGAGTCGAGGAAGGCGGTAAGGCGGTCGAGGACGGCGCCGGGCCGTCGCGACCGCCTCGCGGAAGGGGCCGCGACGGGAAAGGGGTGCGGCTGGTGCGGCTCGCGTCGCGTTTTGCGTTTCGTGCACAGCACCAGTCACAGTACCCTCCTTTTCCCCAAGGTGAAGCGCCCGACCGTGCTCCAGCGCGGCAGTCCATTTTGGGCGACATGTGTGCGTTCCAGGTTCCCAACGGGACGACGGCTGCGCACGCCGCGCACGTCCCACACACTGACAATGTGAGCCGAGGCACAAAAATAGCGGGCGTACGGGACTCGTTCGCGGACATGTTCGCACGTCGCGGATCGCGGAGCGGCTGCCTTTTGCTAGGAACAACCATTCCGTTTGGGAGGGAATAAAGTAGGCCAGGAGTGTGTGGGTACGTGTAGTGCAGTGTAGAGTAGCGTACGGAATACCGGGCATGTGTTTGCCGCGTGTGTTTCCAGCCCCGTGGAATCGGCCAAGCCGTCGGCCATCGGCATGCCGTCGGCCAGGCAGTGGTCACTCTGTGCTCCGCGTGCTGCGGCCCTGCGGCCTCCCCTCCGCACTTCTTGGAGACGGGGACGGCGGGACTAGGCGCGGCGGGGACTGCCTGCGCTGCCTGCGCTGCCTGCGCTGCCACCCCTCCGCCTTGCAATCAACAAGCTCGCCCTCCGCCTCCCCCCTCCCCCTCCCCGCGGAAGGTAAAGCAAAGCAAAGCCTGCTCGCTGCCTTCTTGCAGACCCCCGTCACCGCCGTCACCCGACAACGACGTCTCGCCTATTCTTCGCGACGGCGCGGGGCGGGGCGGGGCGGAGGGGAGGGGGGTGGGTTTTTAAAGTTTAAAGGGACAGGCCTTGCCAGCTTCGCCGTGGCCGCGCGCTGCGCCGCCACCGTTGCCGGCTCGCCGACTTCTTGAGCATGTATCTCGCGGCGTTGCGGGTCCGAGTTGTTGGAGAGGGTCTT